TCCATCCGGTAGGTTAGTAAAATCGGCCGGGCGATTTTATTGACCTACCCGGATTGGGACGGACAGTCGGAAGGTAGACACGTGTTTGAATAGACGCACGGGGAGTAACCAGTACACGCGCAAGCACACACAACCTCTCCCCGAGACATTCCTTCACCGTCTAAAAAAGGCGACACATAAAAGTTTAGATCGCGTGAGCTCGACCAAAGAGGTTTTACTTGGAATGGTGTAGGAAATTACCTTGTAGCATTTTTTTTATAATTTTTGCTGTGTAAATTTAAACTATTTTGGTGTAATGTAAATACTAGTCGTTATGTATATATATATATGGGATATCGTNTGGTTTTTAGTCGCTGCAGTTTGTGGAGTGGAAGGTAGCAACTACATATTAATGCTTTAAAGTTAATTAATACCCAAATTAAACCCGAATCAATAACAAAACTGCGAGCCTGCACGCACGACGCTACGCTTCTGAAACTCTTCTGGGACGCGTCCGGTGGGTTATGGCGCTAGACCAAAACCGCGGCGCAGCCGTGACGTGGCGCAGCACGGCGCAGACGGACCCAGTGGAAACTGGGGGTAATTGTGTTCACCTTTTGCCCTTGTGTTTCTACCTCCCCTGCCCAGCTGTTTCTTGTCCCGTGATTACCTCTCTCTGTATTTATTCTTGTCTTTCCCTGTGTTCCCCTGTCGGTTCATTGTTTGTCTTCCCTTCATGTCACGCTCCATGTTTGTCCTTGAAGTTTTTGATCCTGGATTCTGTACTCGTGCTCCCCTGTTTTGGTAATGCTAACTTTGTTTCTTGTTTTCTTTTGTCATCGGCTTTTTTGTAAAATAAAGCTTGCTTTTTGTTAATACTGCATTTGGGTCCTACCTTTTCCACGCACCCTGACAGAATGAACCGACCAGTAATGAACTCTTTTCTGGATGGATTTCTTTTTCATTGGCTCAACAGGCGGATCACCTCAAGTACGCCCTAGAGTACATTTTTTATACTTGGTTGGCAGCCTCATCCAGACGGGCTAAAGAGGCTGCTTTGAAGGAGGCACGCCAGGAGGTTGCTCGCAAGCCCGGGCTCAGGAGCTTGTTGCCTGAGTGGCTTTAAACTTTTACAAGCAGCCCTGAAAGCTTGTCTCGAGCCTCTGACCTTTTCTTGGAGTCTGGCCTGGCCTTGGGAGGTCCACGGATCCTCGGGAAAATCTCTTAGAGACGCAAGGCCAAGATTCCAGTCCGTGCTCCAGCAGCTCCAGTTCCGGCTCCAGTGCCGTCCCCAGCAGCCATGGTCCCGACTCCAGTTTCGGCTCCAGTACTGGCTCTCCGGCCGACGCCAGCTCCCCGTGTCCTGTCGGCGTACCGCCAGACTCCAGCACCTCGTCTCCTGTCGCCGTACGGGCCGACGCCAGCTCCCTGTGTCCTGTTGGCGTACCGACCGTCTCAAGTCTCCTCTCAAGTTCCTTCTCAGGTCCCCTCTCGAGTCTCCTCTTGAGTCCCCTCTTAAGTTCCTTCTCAGGTCCCCTCTCGAGTCCCCTTTCAAGTCCCCTCTCAAGCCCTCTCTCAAGTCTCCTCTCGAGTTCCTTCTCAAGTCCCCTCTCGAGTCTCTTCTCAAGTTCCCTCTCAAGTTCCCTCTCGATTTCCCTCTCAAGTCCTTTCTCCAGTCCCTACTTGGGTCCCTACTCAAGTCCCTACTCTATGTCCTGTACCGTTGGGGGTCCCGCCGACTACTGTTCTGCCGGGGGTCCTGTGAACCCTATGTCCTGTGCCGTTGGGGGTCCAGCCGACACCTGTTTCGTCGGGGGTCCTGCCAACTCTATGTCCTGTCCCGCTGCCTTCGCTCTCATGCCCGGCACCCTGAGTTCGCCCGCTGTGGCCTTCGCCCCTTTTTGAACTCTGCCTTGACCCCGGGCTGTCCGCCCGAGAACCCCTCCTCGAACTCTGCCTTGCCCCTGGGTCGTCCGCCCGAGACCCCCTCCATGAACTCTGCCTTGCCCCCGGGTCGTCCGCCCGAGACCACCTCCTGTTTCTCTGCCTTGCCTCTGGGCTGTCGACCCAGACCCGTCCTCCGGACCCCTTCCACCCACCCTTTTCGAGGTGTTGGACTTTGTTTGTGTTTTTTGGACGTCTGGGATCCGTCCCGTGAGGGGGGAGTTTTGTCACGACCCTAATCTTATGTCACGTTTTTTAGTGTTGTCTGTCTTGTTATGGGTGTTGTTTTGTAATTCTGTACTCCCTGTCTCTTGTCTTCCTTCCTGTGTTTTTCCTCCTGTGTCTGATTGTCTAATTGTGCTCACCTGTTGCCCTTGTGTTTCTACCTCCCCTGCCAAGCTGTTTCTTGTCCCGTGATTACCCCTCTCTGTATTTAGTCTTGTCTTTTCCTGTGTTCCCCTGTCGGTTCATTGTTTGTCTTCCCTTCACGTCACGCTCCATGTTTGTCCTTGAAGTTTTTGATCCTGGATTCTGTACTCGGGCTCCCCTGTTATTTCTTGTTTTCTTTTGTCATCTGATTTTTTGTAAAACAAAGCTCGCTTTTTGTTAATACTGCATTTGGGTCCTACTTTTTCTACGCACCCTGACAATATTTAAGGGTTTTTTCTTTTAGTGAGTCCAGTCTTGCACTAATGTACATTTCTCAAAGATATTGGAGTGACTGTTATTTTGTATATATTGATTGTTATGCTTTAATCTATGTCTTAATGTGTGCATATGTATAAACGTGTCTGTTGATTGTGTGTATATATAGGTATATACATATTGTTATTATGTTTTTGTATTCGGGATTGTGGGAAACGGTATTTCGATCTCTCTGTGTGTACACACAAACTGAAAGATTGACATTTGACCTGATCCCATTGATATATATGAGGTAAACAAATGATAAACACTTACAGTATATACACACAAACATGTTTTTACTTAGTATCTTATCATATTTAGACCATCATGCATTATTTTTGGTTTACTATATCACAGTAACCCAAATATGGCGCAGGATATATTCTTTCTGCTCCTCGCCAACCCTAGCAGACCTGGACCTGATCAGATGACACGGCTAATCCGCCGACAAATAAATCAAAACAAGCCCTCGGTGTCAATTTTCCATGAAAGTGAACCAGTAAGCCAGTTAAGTAGCTGGCGCAAATGTATGTATGTTTAAGAATTACACACTTATGATTGTGTCACACCTAGCAACAAGCTACTGCTGCCTCACTTAGATTCAGATATCACTCACGATATATTTCTGAGAAACATAAACATGACAGGATCAACGTAATGAATAAATAAATGTTGACAAGGAAAAGCACATATTTTCTTGGAATTTTATTTAAAAATAGAACATGAGGCAATCATTTATACATGTAATACGCATGCTATACGACTCAAATAGTAACACAAGCAGGACCACCTGCTAGAAAATGATACATGGAAGCATATATATTTTAAGTAAGACAGATTTATGGTTGTTGTTGTTTACTCAAGGCAAAGTTCACCGGTTTTACTGTGAGGGCATGTCGTAAAATCAAGTCAACTATATCTGTTTCTTTAATATATGGTATAAATGTGAATCGTTTTGTCAAATCCATAAAAACACCTTTCACATAAGATACATGAAAGTCTGTGACTGCGGTAATCCAAGCCCATAATATTAGAAACTACACTCTAAATACTGCGACATATTTTGTGGTTATAATCTACTACTTTATAGTTTATACGTCACTTTGTATGTTGCTTTTACTCTCTTGCATCATTTACTATGTGTCTTCTGATGGATTGGAGTTATTACCACTTCTGGATACTCTTGATCATGTTTCAGTTGTTCATAGGAACATAACACAACATAAACTCACAGCAGCTGCTCCGTGTTTTTGAACGACACTGTATGGGAGGCCACAATACTGCACACCTACACATCATTTCTTTATTTAAGCCTGACAGTGGCTGGCCATATTTACAACGTGTCTTAAAATAATACAACTCTGGACAGAACATGCAACTAGAATAGCAGAGTCTGTAATGAAAGACAATTCAGGGGCTGCAGCCTTGAACATTTGCTGTATCCAACTGTAGGATGTATTCAAAAGCTAATACAGAATAACATTTTTAAGATGACCTATTGTTTAATATAATGAGAAAAATAAATATTTCAATTCTAATATCTTTGCTATGAATACCTTGGATAAATATCTACCCACGGAGTTTGATTCCTTTCTATTTAAACTGTGATTTCCTTTTCAAATGCATGCCTAAGGAGCATCTATTGAAACTACCTCAGAGAAACATCATTCTGCATGTTTGCAGGTTTCCACTCTAGTTTGTCAAATAAATATTGGCCATTTAGACATGACTTTCTTTTATTTGTTGAAGTTGGCAGGCTGGTAATTAACATGGTGTTGTCAATAAGGCGTTTCATCCACTAAGCATATGTTAGACATTTAGAGATCATCCCTACAGAAAAACAAATGTTTCTTAAAGGGAAAACATCTTCCTGTTTTGAGGGTGTCGATGTTATGATATATTTGTTGACCTTATGACCGCAGTGTGTGGTTTTTAAAATAGATGTGTTGAATGGAGTGAAACAAGCAGGTGCATTGTCAAACTTATGCACACCGTTTTATAGGCTGTATTTTATGTGAATACATTATGATAACACTTTAAAATGGGTCTTAGTAAAACAAAAACAACACAAGTTTGATTGCAATTAGTGTTACCGTCTTTATTGTCATAAAGATAATTAAAGTCAAGACGTTAAACAATCAGATTTGCAGGATACTAATAAATAGCAGACCTACTGTAATCAAGTCCTATAGTGAATTCCAATATATCAAGGCTTGTAAACAAGCGTCCTCTTCCTATGTGTCCTTACATCTGGTTCATAGGAGCAAATCATTATTTGAAAGGTATTTAACCTGCTCTTCAACCTACCCTTCACTGTGGCCCCTCTGTAATTCACCGCCCACCCAACCTCCAATGTTTTTGGAGTGACCACAAATACAAAAAAGCTTTTGGCAGTCACTGGGTCTTGTCAGTAGAGGAGCATCAAGCACAGACTTGCACGCTGCAGGACGGATCTATTACTTTGAGAACATTAGGAGAAGGCACAGTGTGAGCAGACTGAAAGGGAACAGAGCTGAGAGCACTGAGGACTGAGAGCAGGTAGGTGGCCCTCAACACAAAGCCAGGCTGTATGAGAACATGTTGTGAGAGGAGAGGAGAAAAGGATTACAGTAAGCCTATTTCTTGTAAGTCATCCCCTGCGATAACTTCAGGATCAATAAAAAGTGTGCCGTCACTGAAGACGTCAGCATTTTGTGAGCAGGTGCACAGACAGGTGCAGTAAAAAAAACAAAATTCTACATGCAAGTGTGTAATGTATACATGCTGATATTTTCCTCTTTGAACGTGCTGTGCTTAAAGAGTCATAAAGCGACTCAATGTACACAATTTTATGTGCTCTCTCATTCCAGTCGCTCAAATTACCGAGTATGTTACCAGGATAATAATTTTGATATTCTTTGTGCAGGATTTCGTTACACAGAGGACACAGATATTTAGTGTTGGGGCATGAAATCATTTTAGTGAGGCATGCAGGCTTCTCAGTTTAAATTTCACAGTTTTAAATCTGGGAAGCTGGATGTGAGGTCAAAGCTGTGAGGTTGCTGGGTGATGGCTAACTTTAGATTAAGGAATCGATATCGATATGTAGCCTGAGATTTAGCAAGCTGCGTGAAGGGTGTGGGTTGTATTTTGGCAGAAAATAGGATTTTCACATTAGAAAGACATACACACGGCTGTGGTTGCTACTGTTTGCACTACTAGTGCTCTCTGTTCTGTCTCAAGCACATGCAGAATTGTAATAAGCACTTCTCTTCAATGCAGTATTGTAGATCTAAAAGGACACAATTAATTTAAATATAAAGAGAATACACTCACACTGATCAAAACATGCTGTCACACAAAAAATGTCGAACATGTGTTTGAACAACATGTATGTATTAACTTGTCAGACCTGTTACAGCACTCGAACAAATTAGCAAATCCTATGGGATGTTCAAATGGCACCATTAGCGCTCATTTGACACCACAAGGCCCTGCGAGTTACACAGACGAAGACACGTTCTGTCTCCTGCACTCAGTGACGTGTGAACAGATGCAGAAGGGACATTTGAGAAGCTGCAGATGCCATTACAAGAGTACATGGTCGGTGGAGCAGTCACAGTATCATTGGGACATGTCACGTATCACTGAGACATTAGCCGTAATTCGTTTGTCTGCAGCAGCTTCTCAAGTGTCTTTATTTCTATTTATTTTCTTTACAATCTTCAAAATAACCATGCTGGCATCTTCTCACTGTATTCCATGTCATTAGCTTGACAAGAGGTCAACCTTTGTAATGTCAAGGGATGTTCTACACATGCAAAGAAGATATTACAGGCACACATAACAGGGATTGACCATGCGTGGCCAAGGTGATGGCGACGAATCAAGCAGAATTAGTTATAAGGCAAACTGTCAAAATAGTATGGGAGCAAATACTTACCACACAGATCTTTTTTAATTAGATCCTAACATCATATTAGGAAAATGTCTATTATCACATTATAATCTCCTTTATAATTAGTGATATTTAAACAGCAAAGAGAAACGTTGACAGAGGGTGAGGCTAGATTTATTTATTTCTGCTACAGTAGTCCAACATTTCAAACAGTCTGTGTCTAATTTTAAGCCTGGCGACTTGTTATATCGCCTGCAGTGACAGCCGCCCTGCCTTCATACTGGTAAGATGTAACGATGTTATGAAGCATGGCTCCTATTTTATATATTTTTTAAAGGAACAAAAGTGTTTAGTGTAATTTAGCCTGCAGCACAAATGTTAACAATCCCAAAAATTAGGATTTTAAAAGAAGCTCAGGATCCGTTGCCAATCCCCTTTCCCTGGAGTCAGGTTTCATTCAATCAGATGAGAGCCTCAGACAAACTTTAAACTATAAATGCAATAAGCTAAGATGGCAGAACTATTCCAGGGAAGATGAGTGGGTTTGCTTTTAATGCAAGGGGCCTCCTGCCAAATGTCTCCTGTTGCAGGCTGTTTTGCTTTTACCATATTATGTGTTGTGCGGTTCATTTTCAAGATCTACTTGAACTCAGCTGGAGCCCAGAACCTTCTGAACATATGCTGGAGTACAACTAAAAATAAAGCGCTTACTTTCCAAGACAGCAGGTTTTATGTTCAGTGGGAAGTCAGGACAAAGTCAATATTTTTTATTTGAAGGGTACATTTAACAGCTCAGTTTTAAAAACAAAAGTCACAAGTTTAACAAGATAAGATTGAATGTTTGATACAATCACAAAGTCTTTCAAATAGAATTTGGCTTAATTAAGTTGCATCTATATAAACTCACAACAAGCAACTACAATATGATTTCAAAGTCATTATTGACATTATTTGGCTCTTCCTAATATTTAAATTAAAAAAAATTATACTTGAAAATCCTGTGTTCACTATAAAGTGCCACACATTTAATTTAAAACAGTTAAGAGTTCATAAATAGTTGCGTATCTTAAATATATGGATGTTTCTCCCAATGCATCAATACATTGGATAAGGACATGTTGATCCAGATTGATAGATACAGCCCTATTGTTGAGTCAAACTTTGGTGCAGGTCAAAACCAAAGGTTATACTTAAAAAAAAGTCATACTCTTTGTCCAAAGAGACATTTCATCCAAGCTTTATACTACTTTCTATTTGTTTAAAGCCCCTGTAAATCAGTTTTCTCAGATGTTATGAGCAGTTGATCCTTGAGTTGTTGATTGTCAAGAACAGATCATTTAAAAGAGAAAAGTTTTCAGGGGCTTCAAAGGTTTAGAGGAGTTGGAGAAGTGCTCAAGCTGTTGGAAATATGTAAAACTCTTTGGTAAATCAGACAGCAGTCCACAAAAGGTTTGTAGCTATTACAGTACACAGACGTGACATGTCATTTAAGGAATCATGCAATCAAAAACTGCGAGGTTTTTTGTGAACGTGAGCTGTGCACAATAGCAAACATTAACCAAAATCCTAATCACAGATGAATCAAGAACCAGTGTTATCACATTAGATGATCCAAATAAATACAAAAGGCCAAAGTTATTCACACTGTGCACTAAAATCAGATCTTGACTCACCTCCTCACGTCAACATTTCCTGAAAATCTTCGTTCAGCTGCAAGACAAAAAATGACAATAGTATTTAATGCTTAAATGTAACCACACCTACTTTATTCCAATGTCCAATGAGAAGGTTTAGACCTCTGAACTTGAGTCATTAGGTCAAATGTTACAAGAACAAAAAATAGTAATGACATAAAAAGTGTTGCAAGCGACCATAACAGATGATACGTGACTCATTTAATGTCACATGAGTCAGCTGTGATCATCATTAGTGACACATGCGTCTGGTGTTTTTTCCATATTAAACTCTTTTGGAATCTTAAAGAAATATACTGGGAAAATAATGCAGGAGGTGACAAATTACCACTCAGAATCAGTGCTAAAGCTTTGTTCTCTTAAAATAATAATGTAATATATGAGGTAACATAGTTCAGTGATCAAAAGAAGGGAGAGTTGTTTGTGTGGTGGTGTCTCCATGCTGCATATTTTAGCATTTCCTAAACCTGGAAAGGGGTTAACTAAAACATGGCTTTTAATGTTAATAAGTACATATATTTTTCAGTCTTACAATAAATCAACTAATATTCATCAGCACTGAGAGGCTATAGCAGTGGTAGCGTGCCAGTACTTAAAAACTAATCCTAACTCTGCACCCAGATTATTTAGGGCTTCAACAAATTCCGACTTAATTAACACATGGCTCCAAAGGATTCCTGAGATCGGCATTCGTCCCAGAATGATGTCAACAGTGAACAACTGTATACAACACTGGCTGCTGCCTCTTACTGACTGCTGGGAGTAACTGCAGTGAGCTTTAGGGAGTACACTAGGAGCTGTTCAGAGAACAAGATTTTCCACCATATGATTTAAATAAACCTACATGGGCTTTTGAGAGGATTTCTTTCAAAAGTAAATGCATCTGAAAGTACAAAAATCACAAAGAATAAAAAATTTCAGGGGGAATGCCAGTCAATATCACTGATTTGCTTTGTTAGCTATACATGTATGCGGTGCTAATATTTCCTCTTCCTGTGTTTTTAGCTGCAGACCCTTCTTAATCAGCAGAGCTCGAAAGCAACGACAAGATGTGGAAGATGTCAAAGGTGACCGATCAAACTGCCGCTGGGCAGGCGGGTAAGTGCAGGGTGATGGATGTTCTCCATGGTTACGTCAGTCTAGGGTTTGTTTTGCAGCTGTCTCCACCTGGATTTCCTCTTAACACGAGGAATGATGATGAACAGGATCATCTTGACATCAACATACGCTTTGTAAAAAACGAGACACTGCGTTCAAGAAAAAAACCTGCAAGACAAGAAAACACCTGGGAAATTCACAGGTCAAAGGTCTTCAAAAAATGTTGGAAGATGTGGAACACCGAAGACATCTGGAAACTGCTGTAAAGAGTTGAGGGCTGACAATTTATTCTGAGAGAAAATGAAGATAAGCCCCTCTGTTTTTTCTTTCGTCAAGTGGAAGCTTTCTAAGTATTGTTCATGTTTTTTGTTAAGATTTGTAACGACGACACAACTGCCACTTTTCAACAGAACATGAATACAGCTCTGGCAATCTCATTCATCAACGTCTCTTTATTAAGGATACCAAAGATGTCTGTCAGTTAAATCAACTCAAGCTCCACAGATTCCAGCAGTGAGACACGAGTAAGCTGTCATCACAGAACAAGAGCAACAAAGAAAAGTCATCATGACAAAAAAAAGACAAGACAAAAAGAAATCCAAGCACAATACGAATAATAAAACTGATTCTAACAAGGAGTATCATCAACAGTCCTGGTTTGACAAAATGAAAGGTATTCTTACAAAAAAAAAAAAAAGTGATTATTTCTCTCAAGCACTGCACAGGAATCATCCTGTGTGAGGAATGCAAGCTTCAAATTGAGTCTAATAAACAGCTGCACAGCACAGCTTTGTATATGCTGCTGTAACAACTTACTGCTAACACCCTGTTTACTTTGTCTATAACTAACCATTGTGTGTTGTGCGATGTGTCCCTGAAAATGTGTTTTTCCTAAAGTGTCTGTGTTTGTGCTGCCCATCCCTGGGTTACACTGTATAATGTGGTGTTTTATGTTTACTGTGTAATAATCCTGTCGAAGTTCCAACTGCCATGGTGCTTTTGTCAGGATTTACATTTACCTGTCCCTCTTCTGTTGTCACAATGCGTGTTTAGTCGACTGTTCAGAGGAATTTCAACCAGAAGACAAAGGTATGCGAGCAAAAACAAATCGAATCACACAAACGACTCACCTCCGTAAGTGCATGACTCCACGTTGGGTGAGTTGCATGTATGATGTGGTCTTCATCACCCCCGAAAGGTGTCATCCGAAATGGATGATTCAACTTTCAGTGTCACAACGGAAGCACTTCATTGTGACAATTTAAACAACACCCATCTGAATACTAAAGCTGTTGCTCGAGGGCAAGGTCGTTGATTTCTATGTGTCTTCTTGATCTTGTAATTGAAATGAAAATTTTAAATGTGCGCATGCTGACAAAATTCTGTTCGATATGTTAAGTTGTGTGTCATTAAGTAAATCTACAGGGACAAAGTGGCATAATGCCCTCTCTCCTGAGGTCTAACTAAACATATTAGTTATAATAACCTTAAAAAAAGACATCTTTAAGGTTAAACATAATGAACTTGCCAATTTAGATCAATATTGACCAACTGCAAAGAACAAGCCTTTGGTATGAGTAAAAAGACTATAGGTGAAACATTTGAGACATTTCATACAAAGAACGCCGAGGCAACCTGAGTCACCCCTTTCAAGTCCCCCTTTCTGTATTCCCTCGAGATTTTCGGCCTTTTCATGCCTGACCCTCATGCTCTCCTCGGCTTCAGTGTGACGAACAGAACTATCGCAGACACAGAAATGCAATTTCTATATCCCAAAGGGTTCAAAGCATGTGCTGTCAAGTCAACTCAGAACATCGAGGTCTCGAAGGTAATCAACTGGAACGACACCTGTTACCTCCAGGAGCCCTAAAGCATCACCCAACTTTCAGTTTCTTGTGGTTCCTTGCATAACTTTGAGAGATACTCTAAGTCTAAGGGAAGTTGGGTTACACAATGTATGGGGCATCCAATTATAACGGCGCTTTTCGTTTGTTTACTAGCTGTGAAATATAATAGGAAAGCTCTAAGTTAACGTCAATAAAAATACATTTTAGAGCAGTTAAAAAAGAGTTCATCATTATTTAGTGAACTCCAGCTACAAGTTAGATGAAAAAATGCAAAGTCCTAACAGCCAACAATGGAGCTACAGCTGCACTGATCAGAATAAACACAACATCGCATAACCACAGCGGGAACATGTAGGCGAGTCAGCCGCTTAGGAAAATCTTTAAGCTAAATGACATGAAAAACTAATAATAAAAGTTCAAAGTGGAACGTTTTTGCGTGCACATTAGTTAGTATTCTGAGTAAAATTAGGATTTGTGGTCCACATCGTTCAGGAATCAGTTAGTGAGGCATGTTATAGCTACCTTCACTGTATAAAAATGATTGTGCAGTAAACTAATATATTAATGAATACATTTTAGCAAAATAATAAAATAAAAAAACTTTGGGGAAAATTAATAAATACAAAAGTAAAGCAAGGCTATTAAAATGTCTTGCAGAAAGATGATAAGAGCAGTTCAGTTATTTTCCAGCCACCAGCAATTCGGACGAGGACAGAATATAAAAACTTTTTTATTTAGGTCTTCGTTCATGTGCATCCATTTGTCAAGGGTCCAGTGCTGTCTGTGGATGTAAATCTAATCAACTATATCAACAAATATATATATTACTACAAATAAATGCATATATAGATATATTCACAACATCTCATCATGGACAAAGTATAACTGCTGAAAATGTGTTATCTTTATGAATGTTCGCATACTTAATTCATGCCAATTATACTCCATACATAACTTTTGATGACCCATGGAATCAATGCCTGGCTTATAATGCAGCTTAACCCTCCTGTTGTCTTCGGATCAAATCTGACCGATTTACTACTTTCATCAACCATAACTTTTTTGTTTTACATTCAATTGCATTAAGGTTTTATGATATCCTTCACAGTAGACATTTGAACATATATCACCACTTTCATTGAATTCTGGATGATTTAGTCAACTTTGTAACACCCATGGTGTTCCCGGTCACACACACACACACACACACACACACACACACACACACACACACACACACACACACACACACACACACACAATATTTACTGTAGTTTTTCATGTATACCAGCAGTCTGATACAATATTTAAAGTTTGAAAGGCTGTTAAATGACATTTGGTGATGATTCGTGGTTTTTGTGTTAATATAATAGCAGTTAAAAAAGGACTGGTGAAACTTGACCGTGAACACCAAAGTAAGGGGGGGGGGGGAACGAAGACAATAGGAGGGTGAAGTTTCTGTTCTACATTAATATGCTGATCCATGTTTACATACAAACACATTGCTTTTAATGATGTCTGCATCATCCTTCGATTTCATTTCTGATACAGAAGATACTGCTCTGCAGCTCATGCCCCAAGCACTTACCCCCAATGCAACTAAGACTGTTAATTTCTACATCTTTAAACGACATACTCTATAGTTTACACTCTGCCTATTACAGGTCTTTCATTCCAGGAGAAAATAAATAAAAATCCCTGGACCAGCTGAACCCCTGTGATCAGCGTTCAGTGATGACGCCTTTGAGACTTCTATGGGTTAGTCCATATTGGTTTCCTCAGGTGTTCTGGCACTTAAACCTGGTTCAATGCCTAACTCTAGAGTTTTCAATGGATATTCTGTACAAGTGAGCTTACAGTATATGAACTAATAATTTGTATTCCATGGACCTCTAGAGACAGCAGAAGGGTTAACCTTGTTCCCCAACAAAGAATAATTTGGTCATCATACTGTAACATATACATAGGGGGATATATTTATTACAGATGTCAACCCTACATGACTTTAAACAACACATTTCTTTCAATTTCATCCTTTGTTGTTGACATAAATGATTAAAAGAATAATCCTATACAAACAAACATCTCAACGTTACCAGGAAAGTGAATATTTATTATTATCAATTCAACCTCCTGCAAGGCAACTCTATATGAAATCTTGACATGTCTACTTCTCTGAGGTGGCCATGTTCTTCTTGAGGCTTAAAACAATTATTAAAATCTTTGTTAATTATTTTTATTCAGCATTATCCAGAGGCTATAAAGTCTAAATACTTTTTTTTCCCAATTCATCTGAAAAGTAAAATTAACCCACAAAGAAATTAAAGTCAAATATAAAATCTCCCATAATAAAACTAACATTAACACAAAGGTTTCCCTCACTTTTTCAACATGACATAAAATAGTATGTCTATGGCAAGGGTATGTTTTAATATGAAAATATGTAACACTCATCAATAATGTCAAGAGTCCCATGAGAAGGGAAAGACCAAAGAACGTTATGATTAAAAAAGCTGTCTTTTACAAAGTTGATTAAACAATGAAGTTTTGCATAAGTAAAACATATTCCCTTCAGTCTTAAGCCGTTTAAATCACTTGGCATCTTAATTTTTAGCTAAATCTGAACACGATACAACTATGAAAAACGTTGGCATATTTAAGGTAGCAGAGAGGGTTATGCCAGATAGGACCTATTTACTTGGTTTATTAATAAATGCTTGACTGTCTGGTAATATTTCAAAAGTAGGGGCTGATGTAAATAATCACAAAACTACTGGATAGACTTATTATTATTATTTTTTTAGCAATATAAGTCTTTAGAGATTTTATTAATTAGTGTGGCATTTTTTAAACATGATGATTTGTTCAGATAAAAACCTGTTTGAATGTTTGTGTGAAGTTTACACTAAACCACTTTTTGTTTGTCCTTGTCTAAATCTGAACACATTCTTAGTGAGCTTCTTCTTATCAAATGTATTTATTCTTCACACATACTGTACTTTTTCAAGTAAAAACATGTGTACATAGGTTAAATGTTCATGCTTTGATGAGTATATTGTATAGACTATACTTAATAACTTGTTTCTTTTTTTAATAAGCTTATCTAATTATTTATATTTTTTCGATCAGGCATTAAGAAGAAGTCGAAGGTGCCCGGTGTGATGATAACGCAGTTCCAGGAGGAACTTCCGGAGGGAATGACAACTCCAGATTTTACTCGCAAACCCATTGCTTTGACTATTCAAGAGAGTAAGTCAACAATAGTAGCCTTCACCCAAACCATTTAAATAAAATAGAATAAAAAGATACAGTTTTTATTCTCACATCAAAATAGTTGAACAAACATGTGTCGGGCCAGCTAAAAATACCTTGATCTAAATCCCAATTGGCATAAGCAACATTTAAGAGGAAGAGGGGGCGGTTTTGGCAAAGTCCATAGGGACTTGGCTTGGGAACCGGAAGGTCACCGGTTCAAGTCCCCAAAAGACCAAGTGCTACCGAGGTTTCCCTGAGCAAGGCACTGGTCCCTGGGCGCCATACATAAAAGCAGCCCACTGCTCCTAACACCAGGATGGGTCAAATGCAGAATGTAAATTTCCCCTCTGTGGAACTATTAAGGGTACATTCAATAAAAAAGAGCAGCTGAGCATATCCAGTCATAACAATTTGAAAGATGTAACAAAAGGTTAAAAAAACAAAAAAAACATGTATTTGGAAAGTAAGTTGCAATTCAAAAATGGGATTTCTTTAATTATTAAAGGGGGGTTGTTATGGTTTTTGGGGGGATCCCTTTCCCCTACAGTATGTGTTGCATAGGTTGGTGTGCATGTAAAAGGAAATGAGAATGTCACAGTAGAAGCACAAAATAATATGAAACTAAAAATGAGCATTAAACAGCCTCTTAACCAAATGTATCAAACGGGAAAAACTTAAGTATAATGTTTGTTCAATTATTTGCTTTTAACCATTTATCTTACATCTTTGCTAAAGATGTAGGCTACCTATGAATGATTTGTCTCTAATAGAGAAATCTTTATTTTATCTAATTCCAGGTAAGGTTGCAATCTTTAAAGCCATAATAGTGGGCACCCCAACACCTACTGTAACATGGAGCAGAGCCAACAAGGAAATCGTTTTCCACCCTGACTTGTGTGTGCAAAAGTACGATGAGACCACTCGAGAGCATACACTCGAGGTAATCTTCAAGAAACCCCAAAGGCATGGATTCATTATGTTGGCAATAAACAAAATGTACCCATTGTCAGCCGCAACAGGAAGCGTTACATTTCTGTTGCAGACAATGAATAAACATCAACAGTAAACTGTGTTAAAAGAGAGAAACGCTCTCTTATAATCTAATATTGTGATAATTTACCTCATACTGAGAAAATAATTTTATCTCCAATTTCAAACACAGAGCATGTGTGTTAATAAACCCAAAAAGCATGCCCATGTGTACGAAGTTGATTGTAAAACGCAGCCAAACAGGAAACACATGCATGAATTTGTCCATCGTCTGTCATTCAATAGTAGGGAATAGGATAAATGTTTTATCAACCCAATATGTTAAGTGACTTAAATGTTTTAAGACTTAAACTACTTTTAGTGATAATGGAGGTGCCATAATCTCAGTGTTATCCTTTCATTAGTTTCCTAAGGTCTCTTCAGAGGATGCAGACACCTACAAGTGTTTTGCAAACAACGAACATGGAAGGGCTGTCTGCACTGTTCTCCTGAATATCATTTCTGGTATAATCCTTAATATTCTTTAATCCTTTTGTTGCTTTAGTATTTTATATATACGTTGCAATATACATACTCTTGATAAGTTGGCAGATCTAAAATATTTTTTTATTTACAGTTGGATTCTCTAAAACCAAGGAACTCCAAAAGAAAGAAGGTGAAGGTGAGGTTTCAAATACAGAACATTCAAAGTTTTCTTTTCTGAAGAGGATTGCAATTATTTTCCCCGAAGGCAGTTATAGTTTGTTGGCTTTAAGGTCAAGGCTTTCCATTATGGGCCAATTCACCATATAAGATAGAGCTTATATACACTTTCCCTGCCCCAGTCAGACTAATATAGCGCACAGTAGGAGACAAATTAATGAACAATGAAATACATTAAAAAACAATTTATCACAGACACTTTTTAGGCAACTGGGCATCCAGCCGAGTTACAAAGATAAATAGAAGTTAATGGTTTTCATCTAAGCCATCAATATTTGGAATGAAGCAGCAGAATGTTTTTTCTGTGCTATAACCTAGCCCATGTATTTTCAAAGCGACATGACATTGTATTCATAAATTCAAATTATTGGGAAAAATCTTCCTGTCAGGGTAGTGAAAACGTAAAGATCACAAACAGAATCATGTTGAGCAGTATAAGTCCAACACAAGAGAGGGGAAGAAGAGAGGGAATTGTCACTAAGATACACAAAGCTGGTTGGTTAGTGACATTTTTATTAATTTGCTTTTTGCCCATACTACCTTTGGGGACCCCAAAGTTCAGCTCAGTTATCAGAGTCTTGACTTAGCAATGGTTAGTAAATGGCTATATCAGATAATTATATAATGCATGATTTTATGTCGGCTTAAAGAAATACTCAGTACAGTTCCAATAAGATAAGATCTGACATTCTGACCTATTAGTCATTAAGCTGAAAATACTTGTTTTAGTTTTAAAAAGAAAAGCATTCATATCTAGCTTTAATCAAACTATTCTATGTACATTACATTGTTATGGAAGTTACAGTAAATGCACATTGCCTGTTTTAAATACTTGTGTAAAAGACAATGCATGACAAATATTGTGTGAAGGTCTAATCTTCTTTGTTGTGGTTACAGAGGCAACGGATCTCAGGAAAAAGCTTAAAAAACGGTGAGTGAAACTCTGTAAACAAAGTATGTTTCTTGCGTTATCTTTATGATGGTATTTTCTTTATGTGTGGGATTCCTTCTCATTGACAGAATGGGAGTATTTATTTCAGTGAAAACATGGTTTGCACGGCTTGATGACATTTCTGCCTCTACAGTAATGACGATGGAACACGTGAGCACAAGCAGATGGAGCCAGAGGAGAAGATCTGGGAAATTCTCATGAGCGCAGAGAAGAAAGACTACGAGCGCATCTGCAATGAGTACGGTATCACAGACTTCCGCCGCATGTTGAAGAAACTCACTGAGATGAAGAAGGAGAGAGAGGAGGAGATTGCTGAGGTATGGGCTCCTTTTAAATCTTCTTTAGTTCAATCGTAGGAATGTCCAAAAAATCATCTATCCTTGTCATTTGTTTTTTTTGTATAATTTGTTAAATGTTGCAGTCTATCTTACAATGTCTGTGCAGGCTAATTCATTTTGTTTCACTCTTTCTACTGTAGTTTGTTTCACACATCAGTACCCTGAAACCTATTGAAGTCCAAGATGATGACTGTGCAACAATTGAGTTGGACATGGACCTCAAGGATCCTTGTAGCAAAATCTTCCTGTACAAGGTGGCGTTAACTACTACCTCCAGCACCATCTTGCTACATGTTATTATCTATTATCAATATGGTTACATGCCTATTCATTCTGCAGGATGGCGTCATGATCCCATTCACCAAAGAAGACAGTGAGGCCCTGAAGCATAGCTTGAAAAGAATTGGCAAGAAATATGTATTCACAATTAAGAATCTAGGCTCAGGAGACGCCGGACTCTACTCAGTGGATGTTGGGGGTTGCAATGTATTCTCAACTGAATTTAAAGGTATGTCTTCAATCAAGTTATTCAAATCAGATTAGTCATAGGCAAACTCAGTCCATGGCTTACTGATGTGTTGTTGCTGTCTACATCTTTTCTTTAACTATAATAAAAGTACACAATGAGATATTGTATGAGAGTCACCAGTGTGACCCTGTGTGGATGGGATAGATTGCTGAAATAAGTCTCCTTGCGCCCTTATTCTATTTTGTGTATTTTGTTATCCTGCAGTGCCTGAAGTCGACTTTGCTGTCAAAATCAAAGAGGTCAAGGCAGAAGAGCGAGAGGACGCCATCTTTCAATGTGTCCTCACTGCACCTTTGAATGAGATCAAATGGTACGGCAGAAGCACTCCGCTGACACATAGTGAGAAATTTGAAATCACTGTATCCGAAGATAAGCTCATCCACAAGTTGATCGTGAGAGACTGTTTGCAATTGGACGGAGGCATCTATGCTGCTGTGGCAGGAATCAAATCCTGCAATGCCTTTCTTGTAGTCGAAGGTGAGAAAATGATCATCTTCTTACATTTTGATCCTGCTCCTCTTATGAGTCGGAAACCTAGTTGTATGCATGCATACTGTTTGGAACATCTGGAGGATACTACAGACACTAAATAATTGTTCAATTCTAATTTCATTGTTTAGCTAAAAAAATATTAAAAAATCATATTGTGTTTTATAGCGGACAAGGATCCTTCAAACAAGGGCAAGAAAGGAACTCGCAAGACTACCATGGCTGGAGGCAATAATGATGAAGATCTGATCAAAATAGCTAAGGAACAGCAGGAAAAATACCAGAAGGAAATGGAAGAAAAAATGGAATTGGCCAAGATAGCCCAAGCTGAGAGAGAAGTTGCAGATGCAGCCGTCACAGTCGAGGCTGAAGAAGCCAAAAAGGCAGCAACTGAAAGAAAAGCTGCAGCTAGGGCCGCAGCCAAGGCAAAAAAGGCAAAGGAAATGGCTTCAAGGAGAGCTGGTGGTGCTGGGGGTGCTGGAGCCACTGGTGGGGCTGGGGGTGCAGGAGCCGCTGGTGGAGCGGGGGGTGCAGGAGCCGCTGGGGTTGCTGGAGGTGTTGGGGCTGATGGGACTGATGGGAGCCAAGGTACTGGTGCTGGTGCAGGTGGTGACGGTCAAGGAGGAGATGGAACTGGAACCACAGGTGGAGCTAAAGGTAGCGGTGGTGCTAAAGGAGGAGCTGGAGGTGAGGGCGCTGGAGAAGATTTTGATGATGAAGATGACTACGATTCACTTGAATATTCTGATGAAGAAATGGAGGAAGACGGAGAAGGAGTGGAGGGAGGAGCGGGAGGAGGAGCGGGAGGAGGAGCGGGCGGTAAAGCGGGACATGGAGCAGGAGGTGGAGAGGGAGGAGAAGGAGGAGAGGGAGGAGGAGAAGGCGGAGCAGGAGGGAATCAAGGTGGAAAAGGAAGACGCAAGAAACGCGTCAGAGATGGTCCACTCATTGCAGATACAGAGATAGGTAAGCAGATAATTCATATTATATTCATTGAGAAACTTAATGATAAAGAATTGCTTTGGAAAAGTGCCCGACATTTTTTGCTAAATGCATCTTTTTAGAAAAAACGAATATGTCTTTAAAATTGTCAACAATATTATAATATAAATAGTAGCAGCAGTATTTTTGTTTTGTTGATGGATTTATTTTACTGTAGACAAATATTAATTCTAAAATGAATATGTAATCAATATAAATTATTGTTATGGAAACTTTCTAACTAAGGTTTAAAAAATAAAAGGACCAGATGATGTTCATGCAGAGTGAATGCCAGTATGTATATCACATTATACATATTGACTTAATGAGTCAACTCATCATTAGGTCAACATTAATATAATGATAATATGTATGACTTTCGGAATAAAGCTGCAAATTATTATCACTATTAGGAGATAGTAATGATGAGGAAAAAACAGATCAACAAGGTGAAAAATCTGGGAAAAAAGGAAAACGTCCCAGAAAGAAAATTGTGGATGTTGAAGCAGAAGCTGTCGTTGGTAAGAGACGTCAAAGCTGCATGCTGCTGTAGACAACTTACCTACTGCTGCTAAAGTCATTTGGAAATCAAAATGACTTTGATATCACAACCCAAGGAAATTCTAAACCTTTCCTTACTGTGATGCAACTGCTTTAACATTTTATGTACTGTATATGATACCTATATACACTATTGCCGATCTTACAATTAGCTGGAAAATCTACATGGCCTGGGTGAATTTCGAACAACTCTTTAAAAACAAAAAGGGAGTTTATTTATTTAGTTAGTTATTTTTAATACTCACATGGTTTACAGTCCATAAACAATTAAAAGCATTGGCTTTAAGTTTTATTAACTATCAGCTTAATTTAGAAAACAAACATTGGTTTATCAAAGAAAAAGCTATATGTCTATATCGTCATATGTGTGTCTTTGTGCTTCTCCTGAGAAACAGATAATAGAATAGCATGTAGATGCTACGCTAAAATCTGCATTCTCTTCAATCCAAGCCTTTTTTCTGAAGTCTACAAATATTTCTATATTTGTGATTTGTGTATTTAGTGTGTGCTTTTATGTTTGTAGATGCTTTCTGTCGTTATAAATACTTTGTTTAATTAATGCGCAAGAAGTTAGAGGGTAAAAAATGGAAACGGTGAATTAACTTGATATACGTTATTTAGTTTAGACTGCTTCAAATCAGCAATGGGATAACCCCTTGTGCTTAAATATGTTATAGTTTTATGTTATAAGGGCTAAACATTCAGAAAAAAGGTTTCCAGTAGGCCCTTGTGTTAATACACCCTTAGGGAGCCAATTTTAGATATCACCTTTTCCATTGCCCTCTTCTCTTGTATTAGAGTTAAAGTTGATATTGTTTTTATGCTCCATGTTGACATTTGTATTGGTTACTCTTTTCATTAATGGTATTTGTAAGGCAAATCCAACAACAAATGAGAATCAATGGATTGATGGTAATTACGATGATATCCCCTAAACTGAAAAAGACACTAACACAGAAGCCAGTGGTGCCAGGGGTGATAATGGCACCAGGCCAACCAAAGGCATTGATGAATCTGCTGAAAATGGTGAGGGGGCAGACGGCGGTGAGCCTGCAGCAGCTGGCAGGCGATCAGGCCGTACGCGGCAAGGCCCATTGATCGTGGAGACAGTTAGTGGTAAGATTACTGGCGCTGCATTAACCGCTGCATGGGAAGCACTGTCTGAAAAAAGTCATTTGCTGAGCAGATAACTTTTCCAGTAGTTTGACGGTTAACGCCAAAAGTGTGCTCCCACTCCCACTCAGTGAAATGCTACTTTTGATCTCTAAATGCTTAAAATGCCTTTTAGAATGATCACATTTCAGCAAGAGTGGATTTAACCTTAGTGTTTTCAAGAAATGCTAATCATTTTTTGTATGGACTAATGGTTTTTGTCTATTGCACTTAATATGTTGAATGAATCAAAACACTCTATAGTCTTATGTTGTGTCTAGAAAAGAATAGCATTGGTTACATTATTTAAATAACGTATAGGTAGGATAGCAGCAGACAAAAAACAACAGTGTCCACCGTTTTCTCTTTTGTTTTGTTTTTATGCTATGTGTGTTTGGTGTGTCAATTAAGCAATGTTTAACTGCACCTGTGCTCTGTGTTGACATGTGCTTGCTATTTTAAATGCTGATTCAGGATGAGTCAGTGCATTGAGGTTAATTATTTGAATGATCAAACACAGAACTCATTATGTCCTTTTGAGACAACTGCAGCATTTGTGTGTGGCCACACTCATATGTGAAGACAGAAGAGAACCCTGAATTTGGAGGATGACCATGCTCTAAAAGTGATTTCTGCACATTGAAGACTGAATTCAGAGCAACCAGACGAAATGCTAATTTCTTCGACTGAACAAGGAAATGTCTGCCTTGAGTGAGATTTTTATTTTTCATATTTAAGTGGGTATTTCTTTCAAGAGGAACAAAGCGAACCGAGGTACATGAAAGCCTCAGTGATGCTATTCGTATGAGCTACAAATCTGCAAAATCTGAAGTTGAAGAAGTCCACCTGCAAGCAAAACTATCGAGCTACACAAGAAGACATCTTTATCAAGTTTCAAACAATGACCAAATGTGCTCTTCTACATCCCTTACAAACTCCTCTTATTTAGTCTTTTCAAAATTGAAAGGTATATTTTAACATGTATTTTAAACGTGGCCCTGTACTAAGGCCTCAGCAGCAGCTCAGATTCACATCTGACCCACAATCCCCCCTTTCTCTCCTTTCCTGTCTTTATTTGGCATACTATCAACAAAGGCAAAAAAAACTAAACAAATCTTAATAGAAAAGAAAATGTGTCATGTTTGACTATGTGGTAAGTATGTTCACACCCATACATGGCTGCCTTTCAACACCTTGAAACAACAAAACAACAACGTGTTGGTCGTGTGCATTCACTAACTTACTGGTTGATGAATCCTCAGACCCAGGAGTTCACTTTCATGCGGGGCTTTCCGACTGCAAAGCCATTGTTGGAGAAGCAGCAGAGCTGGAGTGTAAAGTGAGCAGGGAAGACTGTGTGGGACTCTGGTACAAAGATGGAGATGAGGTATGCCCAGGGTCTAAATGTGTAGCAGATAGGCTTTGATATTATTGCATTAATAAAGCCAAATGCGAATTAGAAGTTATACATTAATTTCATATTTGTCATGTTACATTTATGCATTTCATTTTGACAGATTAAATCGTCTGAGGGTATAACCATTACAAAAGACGGAACTTTCCACAGACTTAAAATCCACAAAGTCACAGAGGAATTTGCTGGGAAATATAAATTTGAAGCAGACGGACGGAAGACAGAGTCTTTAATTGTTGTTGAAGGTAAAAATATTAAAAAATTACAGAAATTACTCATTTGCATGAAAGTGTTGCATTTCTCCTTAAAAATTACTTTTAAATGTTTTTCTCTAAAGTACAGAATTATAAAGCTTAAAACTACTAATATATCTGTCTATATTTTTTTTTACCCCTATATAGACCCGCCCAGATTCCGTGCCGAGGATCTGGAAGCATTCAAAACCCCTGTAACTGTGAAAAAAGGACATAGAGCAACCTTCAAACTACCCTATATCGGACGGGAACCTATAAAGATTCAGTGGTACCTTGAGGGTGAAGAGCTTGCAGAGGAAGGACATATTAAGATTGAGCACTCGGAGGGTTGCAGTAGTCTGTTTCTAAACAAGCTGCAGCGCAAGGACAGTGGTGAAGTCAAGATAAAACTCAAAAATGAGTTTGGCACTGTTGAGGCCTTCAGCAAGCTTATTGTCCTGGGTATGTTGTATACATTTGTTATGTTACTTATTTTCAATGTTCATTCACTGTAATTGGTCGACAAATTAACTCTCTAACACAGAATAAAATTCATCATTATGCTCTGTTTCCTGCCAGATAAACCCACTCCTCCAATGGGACCTCTGGATATTGCTGAAGCCTCCGCCTCTGTAATTGACTTCAAGTGGAGGGCCCCAAAAGACAGTGGTGGCTGTAAAATAGACAACTATATCCTTGAACGACAACAAATTGGCCGCAACACTTGGAAGAAGGTGGGTCCGATTGGTCCAGAGAGCGCATACCGGGACATTGATGTAGACCACGGCAGGAAGTACTGCTATCGCATCAGAGTGGAGACTGAAATGGGCACCAGTGAGCTAATGGAAACTGAGGATATTCAAGCCGGAACAAAAGGTAAACTTCGACAAACCACTAACTGAAAAAAATACAGGTTTTCAGTAAAGGCCAGTCAGACTCATCATTTCACAGCAAAATTAATTTGACCAATCAATCGATTTGCAATGTTCTAAGTCACTTGGGGGAGAAAGTACATTTGTACAAATGTATTGAATCAAGTTTGGTGAACAATTAATTAAAAATAATTTTGATTAGAGTTGATCTTGAATGTTGAATAGAATGGTTTACTAGAGACTTTTTTAGATTTCCATTTTAGATTTGCCTGAGTATATATTGCTAAACAAAAGAGGACAGTAGTCATTACTACCAATACATCTCTTGATTTAAACTATGTGAACGTATTGTCCTGTAAGCAACTGTTCAATAAATATAATAATGTACAATGAGAACAAAATCCCAAAGGGGAATGCAAGAATATTGAGAAAACCAAATTAAGTCAAAAGGGGCATTGTTACCGCATAGCGATAGCATGTTAGGGCTTGCTAGCAGTTAGCAGTGATCTCCCCTGCTACGGTAGTTCATCAAATAGCTGTGAGTAGTCCTTAAATAACTAAGCGTCACCCTTCTCATATTTAATTAATTAATTAATTAATTTCTGTGACGCTTTCAGGCATAACGAGTCGTTGACGTCATGATAATTTCTCCTACAGTACGCAAACAATTGGTTGTTGCGTTTTTTATCTAAACATGACTTTTAGATCTCTTTTGTGTGTACAGCATACCCTGGTCCTCCATCTGCACCAAAGGTTGTATCTGCCTTCAAGGACTGCATCAATCTCTCTTTGGTTCCTCCATCCAACACGGGAGGAACCAGTATTCACGGATACAACCTTGAGAAACGCAAAAAGGGCAGCAACCTGTGGGGCCCAGTCGTCCCAGCTGAAGGGATTATCAAAGGTCATTCATACATCAGTTTTCTTTGATCATGTTGTGACAACACAAACAACTGACGTCTAATGACTTATTGGTGTTATACCTTTACTGCATAAGTATTTTTGACTTTTACAGGTAAGGGATATGGAGTTAAAGACGTGGTTGAGGGAATTGAGTATGAATTCCGCGCGGCAGCCATCAACGACTCTGGAGCGGGTGAATTCAGTGTACCATCTGAGTTTGTGTTTGCCAGAGATCCTAAAAGTAGGTGGACATTTAGAACTGTTATCACAGTCATTATTTCATCAACACTAAATACAGCCTACAAATTGCAGCACTGAATATGAATCATGTGTTACAGAGCCTCCTGGTAAAGCCATAGACTTTAAAGCGACAGATTCCACCTACACAACCCTGTCCCTGTCTTGGACCAAACCCAAGGACATTGAGGGGGTTGAAGATGAAGCCAAAGGATATTTTGTGGAGATCCGGCCTGCAGAATGCACAGAATGGGATCGCTGCAATGCAAATGCATTAACCATGACCTCCTATACAGTGAAAGGTTTGAAGTCAATGGCCATGTACTGGGTGAGAGTCATTGCTACTAATGATGGAGGAGAGGGAGAGCCACAGGAGCTGGTTAATTACATCCTCGCTATGCCCCCTCCTGGTAAGAAAATCATTTCAAAGACACTCATGTCAAACTGTCATATTTAAAGATTTAAATTACAGGGACTGATTCATTACTTTATATTAAAAGATCCAGTAGTTGTACAATAGTTGAGTTTAACTTCATGATTTGCCTTTATAGGAGAATAGGAGCATTGTTTGAAGAATTAAGATAAATGCAATTACAAATTGTGTTTGTGGATAACCCATATGTGTTTAACACTGAGAGATCTAATTTGCTTCTTCATCTTATCACAAGTAATGCAACTGAAAACATGGTTTACGAATTCAGATATACTGTTGCAAAAAGATACCATGTCATTTTATAACTACCAACATACTGTGCGCATGAAAACTTATATCAATAAACTCAGTTGGTTAGTCAGTATTGTTGAAATATGGTACTAGGGCTATAATTAGATTAGTAATAAATCCTATTCCAGGTCAATAGAAGAATAAAGATGATTGAAGCAGTATTGAATATTGTACTATGACTTAAAGAAAGAAATGTTTGTGTTCTGTTTTAGCGGTGGTTGGATAGTGATTATATGTTTTTTCATGTTTGCCATTTATCCTTAAAAACAATTGTCACCATAAAAATATATGCCAATTAATGACCAACTTTCCCCTGCTTTTGATGTAGTGAGACCAAGATTTACTGATGCCAAAATCAAGAGTTTCATGGTGGTGCGAGCAGGAAATTCTGCAAGATTCAACATTAACTTTGAGGTAATACAGGAAATAATGAATTGACTTATAAAGTAATCTATTCATGTCCTCTGAAAATGTTATATATTTATATATTATTATTATTATTATTATTATTATTTGAAGGCCTCTCCTTGGCCTGAGGTGACCTGGCTGAAAGATGGAGCACCTGTTAGTAAAAAGGTGACAATCAGCAATGCAGAGGTAACATCCCAGCTTCTGATACCTTCTGCTGAGCGCTCAGATACTGGAATCTATACTATCATTATCAAGAACGTTGTCGGACAAGAATCCAACAGCATTGAAATTAGAGTTACAGGTGAGTTTGGTTAACTACTTTTAATTTTAACTCTATAAACAATGTCCTATACTGTGGATGAAACAAGCCTTTGTATTTGAACTGCAGATGAACCGAAGCCACCAGGTCCCGTGGAGACTGACGAGAACGTGCCTGGCACAGTGACCATTTCATGGACTGCGTCTCCTGATGAGAAACGTGACGACAGGCTGCACTATATGGTGATGAAGCGCGATTCAAGTAAAAGAACATGGAATACCATTGCAGATCGCATCTTCAACAATAGATTCACAGTCTGCAACATCATGCCGGGCCGAGAATACCAGTTCAGAGTCTATGCAAAGAACGACATGGGCTCTTCCAATCCCATTGAATCACAGAAGTGGCTGATTTCTGCCAAAAAAGGTATGTATAAAAGCTCATAACTTTCAGGACCATCTAGAAATACACCAATATCTGCTTATTTTACATGGGCTTAAGAAAATGCAGCACTTACATATTAACCATGTTTACTCTTAAAGGTTAGAAGCATTTTTATTTCTGTGTTTTTGTAATCCGATTAGAGGCCAGTTCACAAGTTGACGTATTCAACAGTCCTTACATATTTAAAGAGCCACATTCTCAACCTAACAATGTACCTCTTTGATTATGAGTTTTACATTTCTTCCTCCTTGTGTCAAGTTAACAGCAAAAAGTCTGGCCTTTAACTTGATTCGATCCGATCATCAAACAAAATGTTCTTTCTTTGAGATGCATTTTTCATAGCTATCCATAGAATTCGGATTCACAACACCATGTGGATGACATTTAGCACACCCTAAAAAACATACGCATAGGAAAGTATATAAGGCCAGAAATGACTGTTCCTGTTACTTTATAATCCCACATGTTTTCTTTCTAGAAGAGAATAATTCTAATTTAAATCTACTTCCTTCCAGAAAAATTTGTTGTGAACATGCCAGAAACCAAGACATGTGACCTACAGTGTGCACCCAAGTTCCTTGTCCCACTGAAAATGCACAGTGCCCCTCAAGGCTATGAATGCTACATGAGCTGTGCTATAAAAGGGGATCCTACACCTCATGTGACATGGCTCCGCAACAATATCAGTCTGAATACCAACACTAACTACTTCATCTCCAACACCTGCGGAGTCTGTTCTCTGCTCATATTGAGGGTTGGACCCAAAGACACCGGGGAGTACAAGATCGTTGCAGAAAACTCTTTGGGGAGGGCAGAGTGCTCCACTAAACTCACCGTCAGAGGTAATTTTAACTTTGTTTTGAACATCCTGTCACTATGTTCTGTATGCAAGTGATGATCTTTGAAATCTGAAACAAATAACTTCCTTTGTCTCTTTTCCAGAATAAATGAACACACAGAAGACGGTATAATTGCTTTAAACGCATACAGACACCAAGATGGTATTTATAATCAGCATACTACATCTTTAGATTAAGGCAAGCCTTTCACACGTAGAATGAATTGTAATTTAATATTGCTTGTGATTATATCATATAATTATTATATAACTATATCAACTATTTGACACATTTGTATACATTCTGGCACATGATTAAAGTTAAACTTACAATAAGGTGTTAGGCATAGGCATTTTGCTAAAATAAAAGCCAGAAACGTGTTATGTTTGTTTTGATTTCAAATGTACAATCTCAATAAAGTGGGTGCTTGAAAAACTAGTGTGCAATCTGACATTTTAACGGAGGTAATATGCAAGTGGAACAGCAGAGGGAGTTCAATACAGAACACTACTTGACACTTAGTTGACGTGATTTTTAAAAGTGGTTAGACAAATGTATCTTACATTGAGTGTTATAGTCCATTATACATATGCAATTATGTGGGATTAGTGTAAATACATATTAAATAATGGTATTGTGAAGTAGAAATCTTTAATTATGCATGTTACTTTGAGAAAACTGTAAAAAATTAACAGAAAATAAATGTACGTGAAAAAAATGACGATTAAATAATGTATATATATATGATGATGAACCTTGGCATATGTGTGGCCATGGGCCTTGACACGGCAGTATCAAAATTCATACCACTTGTTCACTACCATGAAACTTTATGTGAGTATTTTATGTTCAGTCTTCTTGTATTACCTCTGGGCATATTTTTTTTGGAACGTCAGACATTCGTCCCAAGTTTAGAGTTACTGAAGAAGAGTCAACAGTTGCACCTTGGGTTCATGCCTGAACAGTGCAGGATGACACCTCTTGATTTCAAAGTTTGGTGTTCATTACCATTTTAAATATACTACTACGTAACTTTTTTGCTGTTCTATTCTGGTCAAATGATCCATTAAAAATTGTTGAGGCTGATCGGTATTAGAATCGGTTCAGCCTGTTTTGTTTTTGTGCTTTTCGTCTGATGTGTCCGAAACACTGTCAATTTAGGATAGACTTCTCCCCAGAAAATTATGACCCACTAATTCTGATATTTCTAAACATTTTAAATAACATATCCAACATTTCTAACACAAACTAATGTAAGGAGCTATAACATTTAAATTGAATTGACACTTACCCTTTGGTTAATTGTTGGGATGAAGAACTGGCGGTCTTCATGTGCAATCAGGCTGATGGAGAGGCAGCTCAACCCATGGCACTTCTATGTCACTTCTCATGAGACGTCCCTATTTAATAAGAGCAGCCAAAAGCCCCCTGCTGAAGTTTTGAGGGAGGGATTAGAAAGCTTCACCCCTTAATTTCCACTTGGGCCCCCCTTTTCAGGAACCTATAGCACCTTAGGGCCAACGTGCATAGGAGTAAACCTATACCCGGGGGCCAAAGTGGGTTAGGTTGCTCTCAGTGTCTGTAGAAGACTTTATTGCGTACGAGCCCACACTCAAAAATCAGCTGGAAGGTGGCCGGCAACAGACGGCAGAGAAGAGCAGTTCACTTGAAAAAAGTAAGTACATTTACCAAGTACTGCAAAACGCCCTAATATCGTTGGATATTTCATGAAAATGTTGCTCTATACATTTGTTAATGTTGTACATTTGCCAATTTATGCTAATAAGTATATTTGATATACTAATCGGACACTAGTATGTATATATCTGTATCATGAACCTTAACTATAATTGGTAATTAGATAACACTATTTAAATGCAAAGCAAAATGTGTGTTGAATGCTGACAGTATTTTAATTGACTTCAGTGAGGCTAAATATAGGAACCAACATGATGAGATATATTAATGTTATTTATATTTCATTTTCTTGATGGCCATTATTTACTAAGCTTGATGATGGATAATACAACAGGCAAATGTTGGAGAAATATCACAATTAGACCAGCAGTAACTGAGAGTCAAACTATAGAAACATACATATGTGTTTGTAATCATACTACATTTGGTCTTGTACTTTCTTGTTACTGCACATTGCCAGGCTTTGTGAGATATTTTATTTATTTTTTATCCCAAATAAGAAGTTTACGATCAGCCATTAAATGCAGCTAAATGCAGAGATTTGGGACATGGATGTGACAGGTTATTCATAAATCAGTTTCCACGCTTGTCACAGCTGTTTTTTCTCCCAGACAAAAATAGTTTCCCAGCAGCGAACCAAGTGTAACAAACTGCTCAATATGCAAAATACGTCATCAAGTGACAACTCTTTTTTTGTATTAGTTTCAATTGTTAAAGTGGCTATACATAGGATTCAAGAACAAAAGACTGATGTCATTACTATAATGAGATTTAAAGATGTATTAATATACGAATAAAATATGTAAATAAGGGATATTCATACATTTTGTATCTGATCTGATTAAAATCCTTCCTCTCAAGTAAAATCTTGATTGTAGGAAATTAAGAGTACTTAACATATTAAATACATGATTTTACTTTGAATTAAACTTCTTATCAGTCCAAACAATATGATGCTATTTTGTATGACATCATATTGCTATGCTGATGTTAAGGTATATTAAATACTAAATATTGGCTATGAAGTCTGCCACGTGACTAATACGACACTTTTGGGGAAATTATTTATGAATTGATTAAAAATAATTAAGGTGATAATAGATAATTAAAAGGAAAATGTTAAATTAACAGAACAACACGATGATTTATTGACAAATAAGGTGTCCGTTTTTAATCATGGAAGACATTTTTGATTATGTCATTGAAGTAATTCCCTTAAATAAATGTGATAAAGAAAGCATCATCTAATACCAAGATGATTATGACTAATATTACATTTGCAGTCAGCCACTTGCGTCAATTACTTAGTCATGATGGATGAGGTATGTGAGCTACTGCCTGCAAAATTAAGCAAGCCCCCTTGCAGGAATCTACAAACAGAATGTTAAGTATGTTTTGATCACGGGAATCCTTTCATTAATAGCACAGATAAAGTTACCAACTCAGGTATCCGCACACCATATAAGATATAGATCTCACGAAAAGTTTAACACTGATGTAGCACAATCAAGCACACGCCCTAACATCATCTGTCCCTAACCTTATGTTTAATTAGATGGATAAATAAATTGTTTCTCACCACATCTTTACTGTCTTTCAGAGGAAAGGCTTTAATTAAAATGCATCAGCATCTTGTTGTAAAAGCCAGCATACTGCCTTAAGCAACTAGTTAAACAATGATAAGTGATACCCATTACAGATGCAGAACATCCGGATGAGATTTAATGCATGGGAGACAGATGGGGAATTTGATGTGGTCAAGGCATACTAACAGATTCAGACTACATTGAAACTCTAGGAAGTGTCAGCAATGACATGGAGACCCCTGTTATACAACCCAAGAAACCATCAAAGTGAAGACCAGATATAAAGCAAAGGAAAAAGTGTTATCTTATTAATTAAGAATATAGTTTTAAAAGCAAATTGTTTTTGCATCAACAGAGAAGCTGTTGTGAAAATCAAGATGTTTAAAATATGTAGATCTAAGGAGGAGGAGCCGACGGCTCCAGGGCAGGGTAAGTAGTTATCGAATGAAAATAACTGCCAAACAATAAAGTATGTGGAAATGTATTTTTAAAACATGATATGAACTTCAATCAAAGCTGTACTCACAATCTCTTCATTCTTTGTAAATAATGCATCCTTTTATGACAGTGAGAATAAAAGTGAAGTCAATGGTGCCTGGAGTTATGATCACCCAGCATGTGGAAGAACTACCTGAGGGCATGACCAACCCAGATTTCACCCGGAAACCCATTGCTCTAACTATTCAAGAAGGTAAGGTTCTGTGTACCCAGATGCATCAACTGTGTTTGTGTTCCTGTTACTCACTGATAGACATGATCCACACAGCTCATAAGATGGTGGAACAGTGTCCAATATGCATCTGCAGTGTTAGATTGCATATGGTGCTGCTAAAGCCTTGAAAACGATCACTTCCTCTGCTCATGTCACACAAAACCGAACATAATGTTGCTGCTAATCGTTGGCATTTAGCAAGCAGTTACTCCTAATTCTCTTTAAATAAAACTCAAGGTGTTTATTTTAATATAGTTCAGGGAGGTGATATAGGATTACGAGTGGTCCCTTGAGACGTACAGTATGTGGAGACGCTTGCTATCGCCAGGTGTGAACTGACATACTTAGAGTTGTGAGTGTCAGATTTGTTAAAGGGGCCCCTTTATGCTTTTTGGGGGTTTTCCATTCCATGTAGTGTGTTGTATACAGTAGGTTTGTGTGCATGTAAATGGTCTGCAAAGGCTGAATTCCCAAAGTTCCTTGCAGAGGGAGTTTCTCTCCCACTCAAAAATTGAAGGGCTTTTTGAACATTAAAGCATGTGAATGTGAGGCGTGTGGCACAGTGGATAGAGCCTTGGTGTTGGGATCAGGAGGTCACAGGTTCAAATCCTACTGCAGTCAGCATGTCGTTGTGTCCCTGGGCAAGACACTTCACCCCAAACTGTGGGGATTGTCCACAGTATGCAAGTATGTAAGTCGCTTTGGATACAAGCGTCTAACAAGTGACATGTAATATGTCACAGTAGAGGCATAACATAAAAATATGGAACCTGAAAACGAGCATAATAGGGCCCCTTTAATGCCAGGTCTAAACTGTGTACTGTATAAGATATTGCTAATTTCTTGTTGCCATTTCTATAGGAAAATTGGCATTCTTCAGAGCAATTGTTGTGGGCACCCCAACACCAACTGTGACATGGATGAGAAATAATGGGGAAATTACTGAAGAAAGGTACAAAGTCGTGGACGAAGGCGCTGGTGAATATCAACTGCAGGTGAGATCCCTGAACATGTCATGAAAATGTTAGTGATATAACTTACAAGTGTAAGGAAGACTAGCAGAGCAATGAATACATTGGAATGATGAATAAGCTGCCCTTATACTTTATGTGAAAATATTGATCATCATTTATTGATTGTTAGATGCCCGGTGTATCGTCGGACCTAGCTGACACCTACAAGTGTTGTGCCAGAAATGAATATGGAACAGCGTTTGTTACGGTTACGCTCAATGTTATTGAGGGTCAGTTACTTTGTTGCTCTTTTTCCATTATATATTGCATCAAATCAAATTTTAACAATAAATTACATTCGTTTCACTTTACTTTTCCATTATAGTTGGCTTTAAGAAGGCCAGAGCCATGCAAGAATCAAGGACAGGTACATATCTTAAATTTAATCTGTAATAATGCAGAGTTACTTGTTAAAATAAAGTATTCATGATTCTGGTTTTGTTGTAGCTGTCAGAGAGACACCCGAAGACTTCAAAAAGGCCTTAAAAAATAAGTAAGGAGTATATTTAAGAATGAGAAAAAATACTTTCTTTTTCTTTCCTAGCCACATATAATTGTAATAATATTTGTCTATCTCTTTGTAGGGTTGACATGGCCGCAAAAGAAGACAAAAAACCTGAAATCGATGAGAAGTTTTGGGAACTTTTGTTGAGTGCAGAAAAGAAAGATTATGAGTCCATCTGTGCTCAGTATTGTGTCACTGATTTCCGTGGGATGTTAAAGAAACTAAGTGAAAAGAAGATGGAAAGGGAGGAAGAGCAATCAAAGGTATGTTTCAGCTTCATCCACATTGAAATATAATCCTTTGTAACCTTACATGCTGTAGTACAAACTCTAAAAACTTTTCGGTTCTTTTCCTCCTAATAACAACAGGTGGTTGAAAGGCTATGTAACCTAAAGCCCATCGAACTGAAGCCGGGTGGTGGCGCAGAGTTTGAACTTGAAATGTCTCTTAAAGACCCTACCAGCAAAATCTTTTTATTCAAGGTGAGATGTTTGCTCTTTTTGTCAATGGTGAAAATATTTAAAAGCACCCAATGTCATATTGCGTATTCTAAAACAGGGCACATTTCCTAAATGTTTATGACGGCTTACAGGATGGAGTTATGGTACCTTTTGATCTCGACACAGAGATTAAGCATGGACTGAAGCAAGTGGGAAAGAAGTTTGTGTTTAGCATCAATGGTGTTGACCAAGACGATGCAGGACTATACCAAGTGGAAGTGGATGGTATTAAGATTTTCTCGACTGAGTTCAAACGTAAGATGTTACACCAAATGTACTACATTTATAGTAAACAATTGTAAAAAAAAAAGAAGAAAAATGCCATGATAGGTACATGAGTTGTTATTATACTAATAATTATTTTGTTTTTTATCTAGCTCCCCCTGTGGACTTCTTGGTTAAGTTAGAAGACGTGAAAGCAGAGGAAAGAGAGGATGCTATGTTTCAGTGTGTCGTATCTCAACCAATGAAAAGGATCACTTGGTTGGGAAAGACAGTCGCACTGGAGCAGGGGGAAAAATATGACATCCTTGTTTCAGAGGATATGCTGATTCACTCATTGGTGGTAAAGGACTGCCTGGTAGTGGAACAAGGCATTTATGCTGCTGTGACTGGACTTAAATCCTGCAATGCATGGCTTATAGTGGAAGGTACTTTTTTACATATTCTATCTATTTATAACACGAAAATGACCAAATATTGAAAATGTCAAATAAAGCATTAATTGCCTGGTACTCTGTGTTTTTTATTAGCTGACAAAGATCCAGCCACAAAAGGGAAGAAGAAAGTTCGCAAAACAACCAGAGCAGGTGGTGGTAGAGCAGATATTTTGAAGATTGCAGAGGAGCAACAGGCTAAGATAATGCAAGAGAGAGAGGAGCTTATTGCAAGGGCGAGGGCAGAAGCAGCAGCAGCAGCTGAAGCAGCCGTAAGAGCTGCAGCGGAGAAAGCCGAGGCCAAAGCTAGAGCAAGAGCGGAGGCCAAAGCTAAGGCATTGAATGCAGGAGAAGCAACCACTGATGAGGTGGAAGAGATTAATGAAGAGGGCGAAAAGGTGGAAAAAACAGCTAAGCCCAAAAAGGAAGGAGAGGCTCCTGGTGAACTTGAAGAAGAGGAAGAAGGGGAGCCCACTCAAGAGAGAAGAAAGAGAGTGAGAACAGGCCCACTTGTCCCTGACACAGTTATTGGTAAGCATTTGAATATAGTTATTCTATTCCAAGAACTGCTTTGATGTTTATATACATTTCTGTCCTCGGTTAACAATAAGTCTTATTTCCATTTAGATCCAGGAGTATATTTCACTGCCGGAATGTCCAATGTAACAGCAATCATTGGTACGGATGCAGAACTGGTCTGCAAGCTGAGCAGTGAGGACTGTGAAGCATTCTGGTACAAAGATGGGAAAGAGGTGAGAAAGAGTTGATAAAGGAATAGCTTTCACTATAACCCTCGTATTTAAGCTTGTTTACATGTGTGTGTCTGTATTTGGATTTCAGATTACAGCTTCAGATGATATCTGTATTGTTAAAGATGGGAATTTCCGCAAACTAATTATCAAAAACTGCAAAGAAGATGATGCTGGAAAGTACCGCTGTGAAGCAGATGGGCGTAAAACAGAAGCTTCGCTATGTGTTGAAGGTACGGTAATCAGAATTAGTTGGAGGTACTCCATATAAAGCAGCCATTGTGAGAACTAGTAAAACAATAATATTTTCTTAGCTCAGCAATTACAATTTCAGTTAAAATAGGTGTTTCTTCTTCTAGATCCTCCAAGAATTAACCCTGATGACCTTACTGAATTTATTAAACCTGTCGTAATCAAAACTGGGAAAGAAGCTTCTTTCAAGCTGTCCTTTGTTGGCCGTGAACCCATGAAGATCCAGTGGTACAACGAGGGAGAAGAACTGTTTGAAGAATCCCATACCAGAATCGAGAGGTCTTCAACAAATAGCCGCCTGGTGCTTACCAAGTGCCAACGGAAAATCACAGGAGAAATTAAGATTAAGATTAAAAATGAATGTGGAACGACTGAGGCGATCACGCAGCTTGTTGTTCTAGGTAAGGTTTCTCTGATGCATGTTGAGAGCTGAATCTTCATCACTTGTCTGATGGTTGTTAAAGGTCCCATGTCATGGCCATTTCTACTGATCATAATTCCATTGTTGAGGTCTACTAGAATAGATTTACATTGTTCAATGTTCCAAACTCACATTGGTTTCTCATACAGCATCTCTGTAAAGTATGTGTATTCACTCTCTGTCCTAAACGGCTTGTTGGAGCTCCTGCCCCCCCTCCCATGAGCCCACTGTGCTCTGATTGGTCAGCTCGCCCACTCTGTGCTGATGAGTCCACCACCGTTACAGCTGGACATCAGTGTTTATGTGTTAGCAACCAGAAAATGACACCAGTAAGGACAAACAGATGAGAATGCTGCGTGGGGTCTGGGTGCCGTGTTAGCGGGACGCTGCAGGGCTCGCTGCTCCGCCATTTGAGACTCGAGGAGCGGACAATGTGAGCTGGATTACTGGTGTAGTTTCCTGGTAGCTGCGTGGGGTCTGCGAGACAGCGAGACAATGCGAAACTCAGCCTGAGCACACACGTACACTCCGTACAGAGCTCCTTGCAGCACCTCGGCTGAGAAAAGATAAGGCTGAGTAAGTGTGTGTGTGTGTGTGTGTGTGTGTGTGTGTGAAGCTCCGCGGAGCCCCACGGCTGAGAAGAGATAAGGCTGAGTGAGTGCGTGTGTGTGCGTAGCTCAGCAGTGTTACGTCAGTATGCCCCGGAAGAAAAAATGGAAAAAGAGAAATCTCCAACGAGGCGTTCTGGGGCAGCATAGACAGGTCTTTTCTGTGTTAGAGTGTTACTCGCTACAGGGTGTACTTTGAGGGTTTGTAACTTTGCAGACCGTTTACATGCAGAAAAAGCTACATAACACACAAGGGGACGGGTAATAACCAGAAAAGCATGACATGGGACCTTTAACATACGTGGATATGAGTGTTTTTGTGTTTTATTATTTGATCCCACTACAGACAGACCAACACCACCCATGGGACCTGTGGATATCATTGAAAGTAATGCAACTTGTATTGATATCAAATGGAAGAATCCCAAAGATGACGGAGGTTCTCCTGTCACCGACTACATCCTGGAGCGCCAGCAAATTGGCCGTAACAGCAGGAAGAAGTTAGGCAAGATTGGACCAGAGGCTAAATACAGAGATACTGATGTGGATCATGGCAGAAAGTACTGCTACCACATCAGGGCAGAAACTGATCAAGGCATCAGTGACCTGATGGAGACTGATGACATCCAGGCAGGGACAAAGGGTAAGTCTTCTTTCATGCAGACCAAAATGTATTTAAAGTGTCCTGAAAACAGTAGCTGATACAAAGGCATCTTTTAAATGTCTTCATTCTTTTAGCTTACCCTGGACCTCCTTCAATACCTAAAATTGAAAGTGCTTTCAAAGACTGTATCAATCTTGCTTGGTATGCACCTACCAATACCGGAGGAACCGACATTTTGGGATACAACATTGAGAAACGCAAGAAGGGCAGTAATCTGTGGGGCTTTGTCCACCCAGCCGATCAGCCCATCAGAGGTAAGGCTTGTTAGAAATGTTGACTGTGTTCAAAATGTAATGCATTTATTTGTTTGGATACCTATGTTGTGCGAATGTGAAACAGTAGATTGTTATTTTCTACGTTATAGTCTTATCCATACTTGTTGTCACACCAACAGGGAAAACGTATGCATGTAAGGATGTTGTTGAAGGCCTCGAGTATGAGTTCCGTATATCAGCTATCAACATTTCTGGTGCTGGAGAGGCAAGTGCGCCTTCTGAATTTGTGTTTGCAAGAGATCCAAAGGGTGAGTAATAGGTCGATAAAAACTAAATTCTTATTTTCTCAAAGGCTAATTGCTCAATGTTTTAATGCCTTAATGTTTACACTTTCAGAGCCTCCTGGTCAGGTCATTGACCTGAAGGTGACAGACTCCACATACACCACCTTATCACTGGGCTGGACCAAACCCACGGAAGAGGAAGGGGTCCAAGATGAGGCCAAAGGATACTTTGTGGAGCTCAGACCAGCAGAAAACCCAGAATGGAGTCGTTGTAACTCCAGTCCTATCATTGTTACATCCTTTACTATTATCGGTCTGAAGTCTATGGCCATGTACTGGGTGAGAGTTGTAGCCACCAATGAGGGTGGAGACGGTGAGCCTCAAGAGTTAGACAACTACATCATTGCAATGCCTCCTCCAGGTGAGTCAGTGGAAATTGTGCACATATTGAAGTAAAACAATGTGATTCTATTTCTCTCCATGTAATCACTATTCCAACATTTCACATTTTTCACAGTGAGACCACAATTCACCGACAAAAAAATGAAGAACTTCATTGTAATGAAAGCCGGAAATTCTGCTCGAGTCAACTACAACTTTGTGGTACAGTACATTCTATAAATTCCAAAAGAGTATAAAAACATTCAAATTTGACACTTGCCTTCTGCTCTACAAAAAAGTGAAACCCTGTATCCAAGCTATGTATCTGCTGTTGTTCGCAGGCCTCTCCAGTACCAACTATCAAATGGCTAAAGGACGGCCTTCCTGTCGGCAAGAATGTGACATTGAGCAACACAGACAATTCATCGCAGTTAATGATCCCCTCATCAGAGCGGCAGGACACTGGGATCTACACAATCATTGTGAAGAACATGGTTGGTCAGGAGACCTCAAGTGTTGAGATAAGAGTCACAGGTACAATAAAAATAAAGTTAAACTACTGGCAATAAATAAGAGTAAAATGTGCACAGACGGTTTACAGATTTGCAATGTGATGTGCATTGTTTTTTTGAAAGACCTTTCCTAGAGTTGCTGGTTTTTGGAGGAAGTTTAAAAAATATTTCCAGAATTTAAAGTTTAGGCCTATTAAAGTAATGTTAGGGTGCAATTTTAATTTTTAAATCAAGCTTCCTAAAAGAAAGGCATTGACCTTTTGTATTCACTTTGCACTAAAAGGGTGCATAGGGTAACAATAATAAAAATACATATAATAATAATAATAATCATTCCGACCTGTTTCTAGATGACCCCAAGCCCCCGGGCCCCGTGGAGCTGGAAGAGAACGTGTCGGGAACAGTGACAGTCTGCTGGGATCCCTCTCCAGATGAGAAGAAAGACGACAGGCTGCACTACATGATCACCAAGCGGGATTCTGTGAAGTGTACTTGGCAAACTGTGGCAGACCATCTCTTCAATAACAAGTGCACCATCATCAACATCATGCCAGGAACGCAGTACAAGTTCCGGGTCTATACCAAGAATGACATGGGTCTTTCCGAACCCTCTGAGTCACCATTCTGGGAAGTGAAGAAAACAAAAGGTAGGTTTTACCAAAAGTGATGAAGAATTTGGTGTAGAACTGTAAAGAATAGTTCCTTAATCAATTAGGTAATCAACCGGAAATCAAAGGGCAACAATTTTGATAACGGCTTAATCATTTCAGCCATTCATAAAACAAATTGCCAAACATTTGCTGGTTTAGCTTTTCGAATTTAAGGATTTTCAGGTTTTTCTTGCCATTTCTAAATCAAATATATTTGGGTTTGTGACTGTCATTCAGATAAAATAAGATGTCCCTTTAGTCTGTCAAAACTTGTTTGGAAAAATTGACATTTTACAAAAATATTATCATAGACTAATCATTCAATTGATCAACTGCAAAATAATTAAGATTAGTACAATTTAAAAGTAATTGCTATGAAAAATGTTCTGCGAAATACACTAAATGGAAATTAATCAAAAAAGAGACTACCGTAAATAGAATTTAACATTGGAAGGTGTTTTCATCATTTGGCATTACACCATGTAAATTGTTCTTTCCTTCTCTTTTTTTCTTCCAGAAACATTTTCTTTAAACCTTCCTGAATCTAAAACGTGCAGCTTCGACACGCCTCCCTCATTCTCTGTCCCACTTAAAAAGCACAACAGTCCAGAGAGCTACGAGTGCTACATGAGTTGTGCAGTGACAGGGAACCCCCGACCCCATGTTACCTGGTACAGGAATAACATTAGCCTGAACACCAACACTAACTACTTCATATCCAACACATGCGGGGTCTGCTCCATGGTGATACTCAAAGTTGGGCCCAATGACGATGGGGAATACATGGTCACTGCAGAAAACTCAGTGGGCAGAGTGGACTGTTCAACCAAACTTGTTGTTGAAGGTAACACACATTCAAATGTATGTGTTGCATTTAAATTATTCTGCTCAGGCTATATGGTTTAATAATTCCCTACTCTCCTTCTTTTTTTCAGATTAGAGTGATGCAGTGGGCTTGATCTTCGGAGGACGCCCGTTTTATTTGAATAATAGAATTACCAGTAAAGGATTTGCCAATTTTTAAAACCTTTTTGTGAATTAATATATTAATGTGTTTAAATTAACCTTGGAGAAGAAATTAAAAACAAAGAAGGACATCTAAAAGCATGGATTCATACTAGATCTTCTTGTTTTTGAGTGTGAATTTTGCCTGATTTACTTACTGGATGCAAAGAGCACTCTAAAAAGAGACATCCGATTCAACAGTAATGATATGCTTATCTTGCATCCAAACATGTTTATTCATTGACCTATTTTTCGCTGAGCTGCAATTGGAGTTTGTTTTCTCTGCTAAGACAGAAACTATGCTGGTTTCTCTGAAGTAAAAACATCTTGGAAAATTGACAGTATGACAGAATTGGCTTTGACTGAGTTTTTGTATGTCTGTTTGATTCATTAATCGTATTGCCAAAATATAAATAAATTCTTCCTGTTTAGCAGAAACGGTCTTACTTTCCTGTTTTTAGCCTAATTTGTATCATCATTTTTTACTTGCTATATTCCAAGACTAAAAGTCTACACGCACTTCAGTGTGTCTGCGAGGCTGTACAGTATATACTGTAGGCACTGCCGTGTTTTAAGCTAAATTCTAACTTCATCATACTAACACTCAAAATGACCATGTTAATATCATGTTCATTTGCAGATGTGAATACAAAATTAAAAAGTCTACCTAATAATGGAACTCGATGAAAAATGACTGTCTGCGCAGAATTTGAATTCAATCTATTGCTGACACATTTCACGAAGACATTAGGATTCATCCTCAGGGCACCATGAATGTATGCTAATTTTGTGGGAATATATATAAATTGTTAACAAGACATTGCATTACAAATACTGCCTTGTACCAACGGTTGGGAGAAGCACCAAAATGCCATCACCTTATAATTTAATCCTTTTCGACAAATTGTCATAACTTTTAAAGCAAAGGATTTTGAGTTTACAAGAACGGGAGGAGACAGAAGGACAACCTGCCGCCGGCGTCAAGGTATAAGAACAAAAATGTCAACATCATGATGGCAATCTATTAAAAAAGCCAGATTAAATACTTGAATATAGTGCAATGGATAGAACTAAACATCTAGTGCGGGTATCAAAAAAGATGCACACAAAAAACCCTGGCTAGAATATCAAACTTAAACATTTCGATTAATAGGCTCAGGACCTTGCATTGTCTCTCACAGCATTTACTGTTGCCTTCAAGTACAATTCAAACATTCATAATTTAGTAGCACTAAATGCTCCCCTAAATGACATCACAAGTATAAAGTCAACCAGTACCATCATTTTACACAGTTATAAGACATTTGAGATGTTCTGATTGACACATATCAAGTATTTTAACCATGAAAAATGGTTGGCTTTACTAAGCCAATATTTGACTCAATATGTGTATGATGCGTGTTGCAAATACATTCAGTTTACCATGTACAGTACCCTGGCATAATGTGAGGCATTTATTGTCCCTTCCATTATGTAACTTCACAAGGACTGGTTCCACTTGGCCAACTGTCCCATGGCTTTAAATGTTCTTTTACTGTGAGCTCTTGTTTGCAACACTTTACAAACGTATTGCACTTCTATTATGGAAAGTCATAAATGACAAAAATGTCATGGGCATGCCAAGGTGCAACCATGCAGACAACTGTGCATCTTTCTGCGTTAAGTCGTAGGGCACACTAATATCATCAGTGGCCACATGGCATCCTGGTATTTAAGACGTAACTCTTCACTAGGAGTTTATTGTAGTAGGCTTTGACATTTAAAAGCCTTTCACTACATACCACTAATATTTTGCAAATCATTGTTGTGATACTCCTAGGAAAACATTGCACATAGTGGCTGTTGCAATGGAGTAAACATTTGGTTTCCTTTAATCCAACACATTTAAGACATCTTTTTTCTTTGACATCTTAAAACAATGAATACTGAAGGCACTTTTTCACCAATTGGCCACAAAGATTTGTAGCAATTTTAGTGTAGTGTCAATACTATAATAAATAAGGTTGATGCAGTTTACTTTGCTATAAAGTTTAAGTGAAACAAAAGTTGCCAACAGAGGTATGGGGTTATCTTTGTCCAAGTTGCATAGTGTTGTGTTGTGTGATGTCGGGTTGTTTTGTCATTGTGTTGCAGGGAAGAATTCAAAGCTTCTGACTGCAGTGACCTTGCCCAGTAAATGCCTTCAAGAACATCAAGCGTCTCATATCAGCTTCCCATGCCTGAGAAACAGTCATGGTTCCGGGGCCACGCATCACCCACTTTTATTGCACTGGTTGAAATATCAACTCACAAAATCGTGCTCAAACTGAGCATACCTCTGTTATTACTAAGGACACTACGCCCGGTTGTGGTTTAAAGAGGCAGCAACACAGACTCCATGAGGAATCCAAATGAATTCTCACTTGTAAGGTTAAATCCTCAAGGTGGTTTGTGTTTACAACATAAACACACTGCATGTTGAATGATTGGAAAGTATGTTTTCCAGACATTTATATTTCTTTAATTACCCACAAACAAACCAAAACAACTGAGTTTGAAGATCATTTTTTAAGGATGCAGCTTGGAACAAGCAATACCACATTTTTTTGTTTTTGTATAAGTGAATAACTGACTAAAGGTGGTTTGTAATCATAGAAACACTTCCCTACTGCTGTAGCTGTGACTTTTACTCAGAATTAAATCAATGCAGATGACGGCTACGCCGAGCTCAAGAGATTTTGCAACAATGAACATAAATCTTATTACCTGTGAAGCTGAACAGTAAAACAACATAAACCAATAAAGATAGCCTGTGGCAGTGAAGTAACGATAAAAACAACAACAATATTAAGAACTGTGACTTCTTAGAGGAAATTATTTTAAAAGTAAAAGTTCAATTGAATGCAATTTAACCTTTGGTTAATACAGTTGAAAATAGCCACCTTTGTGTCTGATGTGATCAGGATTTTCCACATCTTTACATAAAACCAACAGCCATGTGGTTATTGTATTCGTAATTTGTTTTATATTTCTAAATATATTGCCAAAATGGAGGCAGTAAAACCACAGTGTAGTATCTATACCTGTATAACTACTTAATGTAATTTATATTAGTAAAATAAAGCATTAATTCCAAGATGACCAGATATTTTGTAACATTAAAAGACCAAAGAAAGAAAGAAAAAAAGTATGGGCTGACATCTTGTGAGGATCTCACAATGTTGTTAATGTTATAATATTCATCCAAGACTCTTTTGACACCCAATAAACACATTGTATTTTGAGTTGGTTTCAATAGGAATCATTAGTGCATCCAACCATTTATGAAACATTTTGTTGTTCTCATAATTCCATTAGAGTGTCAGCACAAGCATACTTGGTTGTCAACACTAAGCTCTTGTTCCAAGCACGACAAAACTGGCTGACATGACTAACAGCCAAAAGAAAGACCAAACACAAATGGACAAATAAACCCAACCCCCACATCCCTCTGTAGCTTAGGTTTACCTCGCCTAATTCAGGAAGTTACCTGCAAAAGTTACAAATAGTTAGGCCAAATTATTTGGATATCGAGAAATCTTGAGGATATAAGAAAACAAAGTCAGCTTAAAAATCAATAAGTATACGGGGCAACACAGCATCAATCATGACAAGTATAGGCTTTATTACATTTTTCAGAAGTTAAATTTTTATCATCAGACCACTCGTACTGTAAGGAAGCTCACGCATGTGTCAGAAGATCCAAAAGTCATGGTCATCCCACAGTGCGCCTTGAAAGCCTTGGCTTTCTCCCCCTCCCCTTTGCAAGAGGTTATGATTTATGCCAAAAACTAAAATGCAATCCCTTTCTTGGCAGGCACCCTGTCTGACAACGTATGTGCTTGTCGTAGAGTCATTGGCATTCCTCTTAGGATGTAATAGCTTAAAGACCAGGGAAGCAACACTCCCATAATCAGACCGGGAAGCAGCACCACTCAAGGATCACAGGAGTACTGAGGTAAGGGCATCACTCATCGTTTTACAGCACCACTCTCAGATTGAGGTGTTAAGAATTCAGAATTGGCTACAGTTTTTAAAACTAAACTAATCCTCTGGTTTATCGACTTTTAAATCCAAAGATAACATTGAGGAAATGTGGCCTACTGTAGTGTGTAAGGTGTTGCCTTTAAACATTTGCAGCCCTATTTTAGTAAATTGGTTACCTATTCCAATTGGTACAGTTTCAGCTTTCGTTCATCAGTCATGATTTATGTTATATAAATGCTTGGTCATATTGCTTTCAGATTTTGCAGCATGAACGCTGACTTAAATGTGTGCATTTTGTATGAGTGTTAAGTATAAACTGTGTGCAAATTTAAATCAGATGTCATAAGGTTAAGTTTAGAAATGCAAATATATGCTAATGTACTATTCAAATATCAACAGTGGCTTCTTACAACAGTTTAAATTAACTGCTTAGTTTGGTGTGGTAACTTTTTATCAAGTTGAGAAATGAAAAGGATGCATTCATATTCATAATTCTATATTCACATTCCACCACATATATATATATATATATATATATATATATATATATATATATACTATATACTATATAAGGGGTGAGTAATTGACGAGGAAATGGCCTGTTTATGCGTCCCGGTAGCAGACTGGTAGAGGGAACCCATATATGAAAGCATTACTTCTTGATTCAGTGCATTAATAGGTGTTACACAGTAACCAAAGCAACCAAAGCATAGACATCTAGCTTTGGATATTCTGCGTCACT